CCTCTCTGCTCTCTACCTCTCTCTGCTCTCTACCTCTCTCTGCTCTCTACCTCTCTCTGCTCTCTACCTCTCTGCTCTCTACCTCTCTCTGCTCTCTACCTCTCTCTGCTCTCTACCTCTCTCTGCTCTCTGCATCTCTCTGCTCTCTACCTCTCTCTGCTCTCTACCTCTCTCTGCTCTCTACATCTCTCTGCTCTCTACCTCTCTCTGCTCTCTGCTCTCTACTCTCTACATCTCTCTGCTCTCTGCATCTCTCTGCTCTCTACTCTCTACCTCTCTCTACTCTCTACATCTCTCTACATCTCTCTACTCTCTACCTCTCTCTGCTCTCTACATCTCTCTGCTCTCTACCTCTCTCTGCTCTCTGCATCTCTCTGCTCTCTGCATCTCTCGGCTCTCCACCTCTCTCGGCTCTCCACCTCTCTCTACTCTCTACCTCTGTTTACACAACTTTCTCTCCCATTCTCATCCCCATCCTGTTTCATCAAATCCGCTCGCTCTCTCTCTTTCTCTCTCATTCCTATCTACTATCTTTCAGTTTGACATCTATCACTCACTCATTCTCATCTACTATCTATGTCTCATCTACTCTACTATCTATGTCTCATCTACTCTACTATCTATGTCTCATCTACTCTACTATCTATGTCTCATCTACTCTACTATCTATGTCTCATCTACTCTACTATCTATGTCTCATCTACTCTACTATCTATGTCTCATCTACTCTACTATCTATGTCTCATCTACTCTACTATCTATGTCTCATCTACTCTACTATCTCTGTATTACCTACTCTACTATCTATGTCTCATCTACTCTACTATCTCTCAGTCTCATCTATTCTACTATCTCTCAGTCTCATCTACTCTACTATCTATGTCTCATCTACTCTACTATCTCTGTATTACCTACTCTACTATCTATGTCTCATCTACTCTACTATCTCTCAGTCTCATCTACTCTACTATCTCTGTATTACCTACTCTACTATCTATGTCTCATCTACTCTACTATCTA